ATCGGTAAGAATACGTAACGATCGACAGTTTGACATAAAAATTGGTAGGATTATAAATGAATGGAAAGCATCGACCATACAAGGTGAGTGAACAAGGGGTGGGACATATCTTAGTTCATGTTTCTTTACTGTAATTTGCAATGAAATAAAAATTTTCCGTGGTGGACCAATTCAGACCGCTCACCCTAACAGACCAGTTTCCGGGGACTCGGTTCCACCTAGTTGGGTCTGTCGGACCCTAAACTTTTCCCATGGACTGTTTTGCGGATTTGGGTTTTTCCAATAAACTTCCACCACGTGGGTCCGTTTCCTTTAACTGTCGACCGTGGATACCAGTGGTGCCGTTGTTACCCATATGCATATATCCTAAAATGCAATGCGGCGATATCGCGATGTGTACTCACCCCTTAACCAAACATACTTCACCCGAGCGGAAACTAATTCCGTGATACACGGGTTACACAGTGACAGTGCGGGGCAGCACAGTCACTCTACTCCTAATAGAGTGACTGTGGTGGCAGGGAAAATATAAACTCGAACGTGTACCACAAAACAATTGAAGATTCCCCAAAATGGATTAAAAAGCAGGTTTCTTCATAAAGTCATTAATTAATATATTTATTCAACGACAAAACATCAATACAGTAAATATATCTATTACAATGCTCACAGAATCAAGAAATATACTGTGGGGGCTAACAAGGAAATAAAATAACAAAGTTCTGAACCCCCACATAGACGCATAATTAAGTACGCATTCATAACCAAGAATTACGTAATGTGTAATAATTCAAGTTAAAAGGAAATAAACGAGCATTTAAATCCACCCCGACACAGTGCGTGAATACTGGGGAGTATTGACTCGTATTAAACTGCAACAGTATGTGGATACCGGAAACTATTGACTTGTATTAAACCGCGACAGTATTTAGATTCCAGGAACTATTGACTCGTATTAATCTGCGACAGTATGTGAATATTGGGAACTATTGACTTGTATTAAACTGAGACAGTATTTAGATACCAGGAACTATTGACTCGTATTAAACTGCGACAGTATTTGGATACCAGGAACTATTGGCTCGTATTAAACTATGACAGTATTTAGATACCCAGAACTATTGACTCGTAAACTGCGACAGTATTTGGATACTGAGAACTATTGACACGCCACTTCTATATATGTTTATATGCCAGCTTATCGCGTGACATCGACCTATTTCACCTGAATATTAACCTATGAGCATGTTTCCACATGATATTTACCCATACAAGGTCGTTGACCCCTGTCGCTCAAAGTACTCTCGGAGTACAAGAATTGAGGTGTCATCCGGCAAGAAAACAAATGTCAGATCTTTTTTTAATCAATTTGCACGTATCGATTCGAAAATGCATGTTACACAAGTGTTTGCGGGTGCATTTAGCGTTCAGTTTGTGGTATTGTTTTTACGAGCATACTCGAAGTACGTCATACCAATGAATAGTAATCGTGTTTATTCCATATAAAGTATAACAATATTTAGCGACATCTGAGCTGATAGTCCAACGCGACTGTCATTTAGTGGCAGTCCCCCCCCCCCTGAGGGTGAGGGAAGTCAGACAAAAACCAGGTCGAAAGCCTAAATTAACATAAACGGGTTCTTACTTGGGTCGGCAACACTGCACACAATAATTATTTTTTTCTCACACTTTGTTACTCTGCCAAGACCTACATGCCGTCATTCACGTGCAGTACGCCCGGAAAATGCCCCCTCTGAATATGAAAATGTAATTGCGTTCGCGCACAGCACCCTGGCACGTGCTGAGTGCCTGGTCGAAAACGTAAACCCGTACTATGAAACCATGCTTTAATTCTAGCCCGTACTAGAGCGTAGCGTTACAAAATGTCACTAAAATTTGAACGGTAATTTGTCATTGACAATGACTTGTCATGATTATTACTCTGATTGGA